CACCGCTTTCATTTCTGTAGGATACCAGCCAGACAGTTGAGCCCATCAATGGGTGGCATTCAACGCGTCAAAGATTGCGAAAAACATCATGCGACGTCCAATTCACAACAGCGATCAATTGATTCACATACAAAAATCGCAAAAAATCGCAAAAAATCGCAAAAAAAAAAGAAAAGAAAAAAAGACCAAAAGATAACGGACTTCCCAAACGCCCCGCGGAATTGTTTTGATGTTTGGGTTAAAAACTGGACAGGTTGTACGCGGTAGTGGGAGTTTTCCGGATGGGGCGGGCACTGATCTGATTTCTGGGTAGGGAAGGGGGGGATGGGTGGGGGGGGGGGCGGCAGGGCAAGTGCTGTGTGATTTTACCGGCTGATTTAATTCCCCAATTTAATTCTCATTTTCTTTTTTTTGGGGTTTTATTTTTATTTTTTCTTCTTTGTTTTTATTTTTTATTTTTTATTTTCTTCTGCATCTGTCCTTTCTTTCTCCCATTTACAAACAAAAACCAAACTGCAAAAAAAAACCATTTTTCTCTCCTGAGGAATTTTACTTGCTCAATTTATTGCGCAATTGTTTGAAAAACGCGCGCCGATTTGAACTAGACAGGACAACAAAAAACAACCAAGCAGCAGCTACCACCCCACCAGAACAACAAAATGGCATCCACCGCCCCAGACAGCGGCGCCACCCCCGTCAAGCGCGGCCGCGGCCGCCCCCCCAAGCCGGAGCACGAGAAGAAGCCGAAGCCGGTGCCTAGCGGGCGTGGGAGGGGAAGGCCCAAGGGGAGTGGTGGTGGTGTGAAGAAGAGTGCTGCGGCGACGCCGAAGAAGACGGAGACGACGGCTAGGGCGAAGGCTATGAAGGCGAATGCTGATAAGGTGGAGGCTGAGGCTGAGGCGGCGAAGGTTAAGGCTGGTAATGCTGGGGGTACAGGGAAGAAGAGAGGGCGGCCGTCGGGGGGAGCGGCTACGGTTAAGAAGACGGAGAGTGTTAAGAGGGGGGGGCCGAAGGTAGGGGGAAGAAGAAGGAGGTTAGTGTGGAGGCGGAGGAGGAGGAGGAGGAGGAGGCGGGGGGGGATGAGGGAGGGGAGGGGGAGGGCGAGGAGAGTTCTTAGGAGGACTGGAAAGGACTGGAGAGTGGTGAGGATGGGGAGGAGGAGGACGAGGAGGACGAGGAGGACGAGGAGATGGAGGATTAGGGAGGGGGATTCGTCTCTTTTGTATGGTGTGGGTTATTGGGGTGGGGTTAGGCGTGTGAAAGTGCGTAATGGAGTGTACTTATCTGCTAGGGAAGTGTCGTGTTTTTGGGGGAGATCAAAGGCTTTTCATTAATTGATATATATTTTACCCAGCGATTGTCATGTCGATGTCTACCGCAATCTGTGCTGGAGGGGATGCTTGATGGTGCTTCTCGATACGCAAAATATATATGCAGCTACCCCGAATGCTACTATCCGTGGTGATCCCGCGCAAAAGGCCCAAGCGCTTCTCTTGAACCTCTGCCAAGCAATACTCTGCTCAACCCTGTTAAGCCTCAGGGGAGGGGCATCCAATCACTCCCTCGCCGTCAAACCTTTTGCTTTGCTCATTTCTTCGATAATCCTTTGCGCCCTTTCAGGAGAATTTCCCTCTTACTTTCTAGGGAGCTCTCATACGACTATGGAGAGCTGCGCACGACGACTGATTTCATTCCGGGGGTCTTTATTCGACACGACGTGAGAAAAAACAAAATTCACACCTTTCTTTGCACTGATTCATTCAGCCTGTTTTTTTTTTTTTTTTTTTTTTTAAAGAAACAACCAACAACAACTCTCTCCATCAACAATCCACATCAACAATCCACATCACCATCAGTTTTCATTTATCAACAACAGCATCAAAATGGCCAAACACAAGAAAACACCCGCCCCAGCCCCACCACCACCGGCAGCATCATCCGCTGGGAAGAGCTCGTCATCCAGCGGGAAAAAAGACACCAAGAAGAAACCCCCAGCAGCCGAAGACGACAGTTTCATCGTCTTCACCAACTCAGACAAGGACCCCAAGCGCCGCACAGGTGGTGGTCCCAGCAAAGGCGGTCCTTCCTCCGCTGGTCAGCAACAAGAAAGTATTGACTCTGGCCCCCCAAAACCAACAGTCAAGCAAATCATCGGCGGCGCTTCCTGGACGGGAAAACTACCAGTCAATCTCCTCTCTGAGCACTGCCAACGCCAGAAATGGGATCGTCCAGAGTACAACACCATGAAGACCAAGGATGGGTTTTCGGTTATCGTCTCTTTATCTGCTCGCAACCCGAAAACGCAAGAAGTGACGAAATTGCCGCCTTTTAAACTGCCGCCTAGTCATGTCCATTTGGCGATTAAACCGACTGCGTTGGAGGCGAAGCATTTCGCGGCGACGTATGCGCTTTTTAGGGTTTGTAGTATGAAGAATATTCATATGACGCTGCCGCCGGATCATAGGGGGTATTGGAAGGAGTTGGAGCAGTTGAAGAGGGAGGATGTGAAGG